ACCCCCATCCTCCCTGGTTTTCGTGCTCCATAACGATGGTCTTCCTTGTCCTCCACAAGTGTAATGTTTTTTTGTCTAGTTAGGATCTGACGCTTGCCTTCTGGGGTGGCGTCCTAGTGTGTTTTGTCCTAGCTGGAACTTAGTGTCTCTTTTTCTGGATTGGCTGGTTTGGCCTGGTACTTTGCTTTGCTGTTGTTCTTTGGGTCGTTTGTTTGACTGCTGTGTATGGTTTGTCCTTTCCCTTTCAATGAAAGTGTGTTTCGACCAAAAAAAATAAAAAAATAAAAAAAAAACCTTTCTATGAATATGTTTCATGGTATAATCCCTGTTGAAGTTGTGGGCTACCGCAATTTGACTCTGATTGATTTTAGTGTAAATAATATTTCCGGGTCTGTTCCTGATAGAATTGGAGACCTTTCCAAGTTGGAGGTTTTGATTCTGTCGTCCAATAAATTATCTGGCGAAATCCCAGAAAGCCTTTCCAATATCACAAGCCTTACCCGTTTTGCTGCAAATTCTAACAAATTCAATGGTCCAATTCCTGCGGGGATTACAAAACATCTGAGAAATTTGGACCTAAGCTATAATACCTTAAGTGGGTCGATTCCATCGGACCTTTTGTCTTCATTGAATCTGCAGACTCTGGATTTGTCTAATAATAGGTTAAACGGATTGATACCGGCGGCTCTATCTGCGAGCTTGGTCAGACAGAGATTGGGAAGCAATTCACTTAATGGGATGATCCCTTCTGCAACAATTGCAATGCACCAAAAGTTGACATGCTTGGATCTGGAAAACAATAGCTTGAGTGGAAGGATCCTCCTGAATTGGGTTCTTTCCAGAGTTTGGCACTGTTGAATTTGGCTCAGAATCAGCTGTCTGGGGCTTTGCCAGTGGAGTTGGGTAACCTTAGCCATCTTCAAGTCTTGAAACTTCAATCTAACAAGTTGGCTGGTGAAATCCCAATTCAAATTACTCAATTGTCGAATTTGTCGATTCTAAATATCAGCTGGAATTCTCTGAATGGTTCAATACCACCTTCGGTTGCAAACTTGACGAATCTCATTACCATGAATTTACAAGGCAACAATCTCAGTGGTTCGATACCGGAAAATATTGGCTCCATGACTTCTCTGATGGAACTCCAACTTGGAGAAAATCACTTGAGTGGTGTCATTCCAAGCATGCCATCTACTTTGCAGATTGCTTTGAATCTCAGCAGCAATCTTTTCGAAGGACCGATTCCGATAACTCTTTCCTGCTTCACGGGATTAGAAATTCTGGATCTCTCAAATAACAAATTCTCTGGTGGGATACCCATATCTTTGACGCAATTGTTACTTTCCAACAATCAGCTCTCTGGAGAAATTCCAGATTTTGCTTATTGGGTCTTCGTCAACACAAGTGGAAATGAGGGTTTGACTCACTCTACGACACCAAGCACGTCACCGGAATCGAAAAAGAAGGCAAACCTAATTGCACTGTCAATATTCGCTCTTCTTGCAGTATTTGTACTTTTTACAGTTGTCTTTGTAATAGTGCAAAGAAAGAAGAACCGTGAAAATACTAAACAAAACCATATACATGGAGAAATTTCCTTTTCGGTATTGAATTTTGATGGAAAATCAATGTATGCGGAAATCATTAGGGCAACAGAAGATTTTGATTCCACATATTGCATTGGGAAGGGAGGACATGGAAGCGTCTACAAAGTGAATTTGTCATTTGGAGACATAGTGGTTGTGAAAAAACTTCATCTGCTATGGGATGGCGAGACAGAATTTCAAAAGGAGTTCTTGAATGAAGTAAGGGCACTCAGTGAGATAAGACATCGGCATATTGTGAAGTTCTATGGTTTCTGCGCACATAAACGACACTCGTTTTTGGTGTATGAGTTTCTTGAAAGAGGTAGCTTGGCCGCAATGTTGAGCAAAGATGAAGAAGCTAAAGAGTTGGGCTGGCGTAAAAGGGTGAATATTGTTAAAGGTGTAGCTCATGCCTTGTTTTACTTGCACCACGATTGCTTGCCACCGATTGTACATCGTGACATCTCCAGCAAGAACATTTTGTTGGATTCTGAATATAAGGCCTGTGTTTCAGACTTCGGCACTGCTAAGTTTTTAAATCCAGACTCAACTAATTGGACTGCTGTTGCAGGCACATATGGCTACATCGCACCAGGTAATATTGTGATTCCCTATTATCTATATTTATCACTTCTTAAGCTTTTGCTTTTAGACCAATGCTTCATTTTCATCATTAGGAGCAGTTAACATAAACACATTTCACTTCTTTGATTTAGAAAATACGACTATAAACTAAAAATTTGATTTATGCTTGATACAATTTCGTGAAAATTCCATTGAAAAGTTATGTCTATAAACTAATAATGCCACTTCTTTGAGGTTTTCTCTGAGCAGAGATTGCTTACACAATGGAAGTGAATGAGAACTGCGATGTTTATAGCTTTGGTGTGGTCACATTGGAAATAATTATGGGAAAGCATCCTGGAGATCTTTTCTCATCTTTCTCATCGGTCTCTTCATCCTGCTCATCATCATCTGCATTACCAGCCCATCAAATACCAATTGTGGATGTTTTGGACCAACGCATTTCCCCTCCTACACATCAAGTTGCAAGCGAAGTGGTCTCTCTTGTGAAGATAGCATTTTCATGCTTGAATTCCAGCCCGAAATCTCGTCCAACAATGAAACAAGTTTCGCATTTCCTCTCGACTCAAATGTTGCATTTGTCGAAGCCGGTACATATGATGACGTGTGGTGAATTGCTTGCTCTTGATCCTTGGGCTACTTGATCAGAATGTGCTTCTTTGCTACCCCACATTTCACTTTCTCTGTGTCTTCTTTTCACAAGAAAAATTCTCCATAGATATTTCTTTCTTGTAATTTATTTCATGCACGTGTGCGCTATGATATGGCTTTATCTAGGATGCTTTACAGTTTGTTTATCCTTAACATAAAATACTTATTGGAGAATTTTCCTTACAGTTTGTTTATCCTTGTGAGTTAAAACAAAATGAAATAAAACAAGGGTTTTGTTGAGTAATTTTATATACTTTGTAAACCGTTCCAAAATCAATAATAAAAATTAAATTGTGAAAATTAAAGGAATAAATAGGGGTTGAAATTACAATAAATAAATAAATAAACATCCACATGGAATGCACTTTATAAACCCACCCCAAACCAATTTACTACATAAGAAATGAGTGTTGAAGTTCCTATAAATTACATGGTTTCCACTAATTAGCTTAAAAAAAGTCAACACAAAAAAACTATAAATAAATAAAATAAAATAAAAACCCCAAAACAAGCCTAGCCCCGATTTTTTTTTTTTTTTAAATCCAAACAATTTATTTTTAAAAATAATTGCGAAAACCAAGCTGGGGTTCTTCATAGAAGTACATTGTTAATACTATATCCTGGAAGTATCTTGTTAATACTCAATTTTTTTTTTAATCCAAATTTTATAGGCATCCCTCAAGCTCTGAGCCAAGTAGCTCATATGCTCTCGAAAGAACCATGCCTGACTTCAATTTTGCTTTTGTCAACACATATAATATTATGGCTAATATCATCCAGAATCCGGCTTCCGCGGGTAATTTTAAAAATAATCTTTTATTCATGTGTTCTTTTTAAGGGAAAATAGTAATTTTTCATACTTTTTAAATGCAAAATAGTATGACTTCATATCAGATATTTGAATAACGAAGTATTACATTGTTCCTATAGAATTTGTAAACAAAAAAGGTGCCAGTGTTTCTTTTATTCAAATTTGGAATTATAGATAACAAATGAGAAGTGCTTGTTACTTTCCCTTTTTGCTTTTCTCTTTTTACCTTCCCCTTTCTTTTTGTACATGCCATACGGAAGAAAGTTGCTAGTATTTCTGAATGACCTAACATATGTATTAGAACATCACTTGAGGAAGAAATTTTGCTACCTGGAATTGCCTGTGTCCAACCCATTTCGTTTTTTTATTTCTTACCAAGTAGTGACTTATATTTTGTTGCATTTACTACAGGCTTTGAAGACACAATCAACCCTTGTTGCAAAGTGACCTCCCAGTTCAAGGTTCTTACCTTTCATCTTTTGATAGCCTGCTATCATGCCGTTCTTATGGATATTTGTATTATTTGTGTACAGTTGTAATTGTATACATAAATTTGGTGTTTGCCATCGCATTCCATCAAAACCTTCAGTGGAAGTGACCGTGCGACCAACTTTAAAGTCGTAATTTTTGTCAAAATACAACCTATTCACACAAAATAAAGCTCACTTTCTTTTCTTAACAAGGTCATTTAGGCCTGGGCACAGTCCAGTTTAGACCTGTTCTTAGGCAAAATTGGAACCGAAATCGGCACTGTTTACCAGTCCGGATCGTTTCGAATTTTAACAAAAATACCAAAGAAAATCGGACCAACCCGGACCAGTTTAGGTCCAATTCGGTTCCCGTTTTTCATGCTTTGAACAGGCTCTTTAGCCTAACTGACATTTTTACACACAAGCAATGTGAATCACCAAATTCATACAAGAAAACCATATTTGAATCTTACAAGATACCAAAAAAACTATCTAGCAAACAGATCCAATCGATGCACCAAAGGAGAGTGAGAAACAAAAAGAGATATCAGACAAAGAGGAGAGGAGAAAAGAGAAGAAGAAATAAAGATCTAGTAAGAAATAAAATAAAGAAATAAAAAATGAAAAAAAATAGAAAGAGAGGAAGAAATAATCAATGAGAAAGAACAGAGGAAAGAAAGAATAAATGAGATGAGAGGAGATAAAAGAAAGAATCGGAGCAAGAAGAGAGGAAGAAAGAATCGGTGAGCAAGAAGAGAGGAAATAAAGAATGACAGAAAGAAGAAGAGGAAGGAAAGAAAAAAAGTGAGAGAAATGAGAGGAACAAACAAAACAGAAAGTCTGAAAGACTCATAAAAAATATAAAAAGAGCCGTTCTTCTCTCTGCCCAAGATTTCAACACCATGAATTCCCACCCAACTTGCTTTTCAATCATGCCTCTCTGCTCAATGGTTTCTTAGTTGTTCATTAAAACAGTATAAAATTGATTGTACCAATGTTCTCTCTCCTCCTTTTTGTATTCTTTATTTTTTTTAACTTTGCTTTTCTCTTCTCTCCCCGTTTCCTTATTTTTGTATTCTTTATTTTTTATCCTTTGCTTTTTAGACAACCAATAAAAAATATGTTAAACTATATATAAAATATATAATATAAAAAAATATATAAATTAATTTTATTGGACCGGTTCCGATTAGACCGATTCCTTAGGATGAAAAATCGGAATCGAAACCGGTCTGAACCGGTTCAGTTTGGATTTGTCTCGATTTTTTACTTTTCCAGTCAACAAGGTTTTTTTTTCGTTTTTTTCGGATTGGTTTGGTTCAGTTTTACGGTTTTGCGGTTCTAATACCCACCCCTAAGGTCATTTGCTCTACTTGATGAAACCCCAATGTGAACTCGTAAATAGAGAGTAGATGACCTTCTTAAGAAAAGACAGGAGATTTTTTTATTATTTATTGGGGGGATGAGCTATATTTTGATTGCCAATGTGAAGCGTGTTAGGTGATGACAATTTTAATGAAAATTATGATGGAATGCAATGACAATATGACCAAATTGATGTATGGACCAAAAATGTAAGGACCACATTTATTAATTTGAAAGTTTGAGCACTAAAATAATGAGCACTTTTTAAAAAGTTTAGGAACCTTTTACCATTTGCCGTAATTTTGTACAATTAATTAAAAAAACTAAATGTAAAAAAAAAAAAAACCTTCATATGATTTTCAATTGATAACCCTCTACTAGATGAAAACTTCTGGTTGAAGTACTATACTGCACATAAAAATTACCAAAAAAGCGGGTTTATGTCAAATTAAGCTTTAATTAAGGAGTTTTCAGTAATTGTCTATTGTTTTTGTTTGAATTCATGAAACACTTTTTTTTTATTTTTTTTGGTGATGATGGAAATGGAGTAATATGCGAAAGAGGTGGGGAAACAAGTGTTCTTATTAAAGCTGTTGCCACTGCTGTTCCAACGTACCCCATGCATTGTTTTAAATTCACAAAAGGTCTATGTGATGAATTAAACAGTGAGTTGGCCAAGTTCTGGTGGGGAAAGCATGATTCTGACTCAAAGATTCATTGGAGGTCATGGTATGCTTGTTGTCTTCCCAAATCTGAGGGTGGGCTGGGTTTCAGAGACCTCAACACTTTTAATTTAGCCCTCCTTGGTAAACAAGCTTGGAGACTGATTATGACCCTAATACCTATTGGGCAAAATTAATTAAGGCCAGGTAGTTTCCAAATTGTGACTTTTTGAATGCCGTGGCTGGTCACCGCCCTTTCTGGGGTTGGGTTAGTTAATTAGAAGGCAGAGAGGTTATTAAGGAAAATTTAAGACATCAAGTTTTCAATGGTCTCAATGCCAAGAATTGGCAGGACCGTTGGCTCCTTCCCCCTCACCACGGTTTTGTTGATCCGCTGACCAATGTGCCGTCGATTGCTCCCCAATTGGTAAGTGAGATCTTAGAGGGTCAGACTAGGACATGGAACACCCAAGCTATAGCTCAATATGTGAATGTGAGTCACGACACTATCAAGCTTATGAGGGAGGTTCCTATTGGCAATCTGCATAGGGAGGACAGAATTGTGTGGCCTTGGAATAAATCTGGTTTGTATTCTGTGAAGTCTAGTTATAACATGCAGGTGGTCTCTGTTTCTTCCATCAGGGGGAATAACCTTTTGTCCCATGTGATTGAAAGAGGTGTTTGGAAAGGTATTTGGGCGATTTCCACTCTCCCAAAAATCAAGTTTTTTCTCTAGCGCATGATTGGAAGGGTCTTGCCTACTAGATTAAATCTGTTCCGCAGAAGGATTATTTCGTCACCATTGTGCCCCATATGCAGTCAGTATGAAGAATCTGAAGAACACCATCTTTATGTGTCCTTGGACCCAAGCTGTCTGGTTTGGCTCCCCCTTAAATTACCGAGTGAACCCTCGAAGTCTCACCACAATGGATAGCTGGTTTTGTGGGCTGTTAAACAGTGAGGTGTTGTCAAAGAACGAAAAAGTCTGGATTCCGTCTTTGGCTAGTTTTATTTCGTGGGAGATATGGAAAACAAGGTGCAAATATCTTTTTTAGGATATTAAGATTGATCCCAGAAGAGTGGTGGAAAATGCTATTTCTGCAGCGGAGGAATTTGACGTGGTGAGGCGTCAAGCTGTCTCCTCCAGAAATGGGGCTGGTGTCATCACCCCGTCATGTGGTATCTGGACCCCTCCTGTTAACGGTGCAATTAAGATAAATTTCGATGCTGCTTGGAAAAACCACGAGTGAGGCTTGGGTGTGGTGATGAGAAATCAGAACAAGGAATTCTGCTTTTACTATGCTAGTAAAAGCTGCAGTAATAGTGCCTTGAATGCAGAAACTGAAGCAGCCATCGAGGCTCTGAGATGCGCAAGACTGAGAGGCTACTCAAGGATAGTGATAGAATCAGATTCAAAAGTCCTCATCGATAATATCAAGGGTAATGTTTGCACGAAGGCTTGGACCATTCTCCCTTTTGCTGGATGAGATCAGGCGCCTGAGTGCAGGTTTTTTGATGTGGAATGGTGTTGGATCCCTCGTGGAGCAAATCGCACTGCTCATGTGACTGCGGCGATAGGAATAAGGGCGGTGTGTCTGCAAGGATGGGCTAATCAGCCACCTCCATCCCTGGTGCGAGTTATGGCTTCTGATGGACTCCCTAGTCCCCCTTAATTGTATTAGTTTAGTGTTTTGTCTATG